TTCTTTTCTCTTTTACTTAAGTTAGCTAGTAGTTTATTTTGATTTTTTTCAATTGTTACTTTTGCCTTGTCAAAGCATTTTATTCATTTATTAATCCTATTTTTCATTTAGTAATTCTATTTTTTCTGTTTCCTTAACTTATTACTGTGTGTTCACATCCTTATATTTTTTACTCTTTCACTATTTTTCCTGATTTGAGGCTGGATATGGATATGGGTTGTGAATATAATACTTCCTAAGCTCTTCCATAATTACATTTTTTTCTATATCCTTAATACTTAAAAGATAGCTTGGCTGGATACAAAATCCTTAGTTCATACTTGTTTTGAGTTTCTTGAAAAGGTGTTCCACCGCTATCTTGCTTGAGAAGTCGGACGCCAACCTGTTTACTTTTGTTCTTTATTTTTATCAATGCCACAGTATTCAAAGCTATATTTCACTTATCATTGCTTTAATTAAATCTCATGTATTTCATTATCAATCACTTATTTTAGAAGTCCTAAAATTTGGGTTTATATTTCCTTTTTGCCTCAAGAGTAGTCCAGCAAAAATTTTTCTCCAGGTGGGACTTTAAAAAAATGTTTTATTAATTTTTCATTTCGTTGCATTGTGGTTAAAAAGAATTATATTATTTCTATTTTGTGGAAATGACTGCAGTTTCTTTTTTGGTGTAATGAAGAGCCAATCATTGTGAGTGAGAGTAACAGGCATATTCCCTATTATCAAGGTAGAAACTTCAACATATCTTCAGAAGATCTACTTTATAGATACTGCTATTTATATCTCTTATATCTTTACACATTTTTGTCTCAACTTGTCTTGGATGACAGAGCAGTATGTTAAAATTTTCTATTATTTCCATGTTTCTACTTATTTTTCCTTGCATAGTTATTTGTCATGCAAATGTTATATGCTTTGACAAGTTAGAAGTGACACAATTGAAATAATGAACAAGGAGGGAGACAGAAAGAGGAAAGTGCAAAGATCTCTTTGTTGTATATGCAATAGGTGGGAGGAAAAAAATACCATTTAAAGTTGACAAACCAAATAGCTGAGGCTGTAAAATTAATAACTAGTATATCTTCATTGTGAATTGTGGCTTTTAGCAATAAAAGTATTCTTCATTGTCTTGTCTAATTTTTCTGCAGTTCTACCTTGATGAACAAGGATATTGTAACCTTTGCTTTTTGTGGTTCTATTGGCCTGCTATATCTTTGCCTGTCCCCTTTTTCAGCCTTTCTTTCTGAATCCTCATTTTAGGTGAGTCTCTTATAAATAACAGACAATAAGATGTTGGCATATGAGCCAATCTGAATTTCCTTTTCTGTTAATAGAAGACTTAAGCTCTTTCACATTTATTGATCTGTCTTACATGCTTGGGCTTAATATATTTATTGCATGCTTTTCACTATGCAATCCATTGCCTTTATTGTTGCTTCTTTGGGCACTGAAGGAGATTTGCATTTCTATTCCAGTGATTATACTATTTATTCTATACTATTACCTTTAATAATATAGCATACCTTGAATACTCTTAAATTCCTCATTTTTCTAATTTAAATTTCATCAATTTTTTTGCTAACTTTAAATAATATTCTTTTTTTTTTCTTTTTCTTGAGTTGGAGTCTCATTCTGTTGCCCAGGCTGGAGTGCAGTGGCAGGCTCACGGCCACCCCAGTGTTGACTTGCTGGGCTCCAGCAATCCTTCCACCTCAGCCTTCCAAGTAGTCAGAATTACAGGCATGTGCTATCATACCCGGCTAATTTTTTGATTCATTGTAGAAGTGAGGTCTCACCATGTTCCCCAGGCTGGTCTCGAACCCACAGGCTCAGGTAATCCTCTCACCTCAGCCTCCCAAAGTGCTGGGATTACAGGATTGAGCCACTGTCCTTGGCTAAATGATATTCTTGATTTCCACCTTACTGTCTATGCAACAAAGAGCGCTTTGTACTTTCCTCTTCCTCTCTCCATTTTTTTTTTTTTTGTTTTATTCAAGTGTTACTTTTACCTAATCAAAGCATGTGCCACTTGATGCTATTCTACCCTTATCCCCACTTCCATTTTGGTTTCGGATCTACAACTGAAGATAGTCAATGCTCAAATCCTTTTGCTCAAGTTTCTCCAACCATCTCCTAGTTGGTTGAAGTTTTTTCTGTAAGTAGACTCCTAAGAGGTTGTGAGTATAATATTCTCTAAGCTCTTACATAATTAATTTTTTTTTAACCTCCTTAATACTTAAAGGACAGCTTGGCTGGATACAAAATCTTTAGCTCACACTTGCTTTGAGTTTCTTGAAAAGGTTGTTCCACTGCTGTCTTGCTCTGTTGAGAAGACTGGGGCCAACTTGTTCTTCTTCCTTTTTAAGAGAGTAGGTCTTTTGGCCTAGGGGCCTTCATAGTTTTTTCTTTACCTTCAAAGTATAATAGTTTTCTAGAATATGTCTCAAAGTTTATCCTTCTGGGTCAATTTTGTTTTTGGAGTCAGCATCTCACTCTGTCGCTCAGGCTGGAACGCAGTGGCATGATCACAGCTCACCCCAGCCTTGACCTCCTGGGCTCAGAGCGATCTTTCTGCCTCAGACTGGGTTGACTACAGGCATGCACCATCATGCTCAGCTAAGTTTTTAAATTTTTTTGTAGAGATGAAGTCTGGCTATGTTACCTAGGCTGAGGTTGAACTCCTGGGCTCAAGCAATCCTCCTGTCTCAGCCTCCTAAAGTGCTCAGATTATAGGCATGAGACACTGCATCCAGCCCTGGGTCAATTTTTTTTTTTTTTTTTGAGTTGGAGTCTCACTCTCGCCCAG